TTCAGACTTAAATTGAAGAAAGTAAGGAAAACCATCAGACCGTATAAGTATGACCTAAATAATATCCTTTATGAATATGAAGTGGAAGTGGTGAATAGATTTAAGGGATTAGATCTGGTAGAGAGAGTACCTGAAGAACTATGGATAGAGGTTTGCAGTATTATACAGAAGGCAGCAACAAAAAACATTTCAAAGAAAAAGAAAAGCAAGAAAGTGAAATGGCTATCTGATGAGGCCTTACAAATAGCTAAGGAAAGAAGGAAAGGAAAAGGGAAAGGAGAAAGGGAAGAATATACCCAATTGAATCCAGAATTCCAGCAAGCAGAGATAAGGTTTTCTTAAATGAACAATGCAAAGAAATAGAAGGAAACGATAGAATAGGAAAGACAAGAGGGCTCCTCAAAAAAATTAGAGATATCAGGGGAATGTTTCCTACAAAAATGGACATGATAAAAGACAAAAGTGGTAGAGATTTAACAGAAGCAGAAGAGATTAAGAAGAAGTGGCAAGAATATACAAAAGAACTGTCCAAGAAAGATCTTAGGGGCAGCTAGGTGGTGCAGTGGATAGAGTACTGGCCCTGAAGTCAGGAGAACCTGAGTTCAAATCCGGCCTCAGACCAAACACTTGACACTTACTAGCTGTGTGACCCTGGGCAAGTCACTTAACTCCAATTGCCTAAAAAAAAAAAAGAAGAAAAAAAAAGGAAAGATCTTAACATCACTGATAGCCATCTATCTATCCATCATGTATGTGTATATGTATGTACCTCTCTCTCCTTCTTAGTGTTTCTTGTAACACTTCCCCCTTGGGGTTCACTGGCCAACTCATGCTTTTGGTTGGCACATGTAGTTGCTTTATATATGCTTGTTGCATTAAATTTGATGGCACTTGATTCTGTTCCTGAAAACTGACCTCAGTAGTCTGGGAGGAGGGAGCAGGTCATTACAGGTGGGGAGGGCAGCATGTTCAAAAGGGCAGAGGCAAGAATGAATGTGGTGTGTCCAAGAAACCTAAGGAAACTGGTGTCATTGGAAAGGAGGCTCCATAGAGCAGAGCTGTGGGAAATATGACTGGTTAGGTAGGTAGGGGCCTTGAATACCAGAAAGAAGACTCCTGAACTTGAGTATGACATGGCCACACCCATGCCCAGTAAGATTCTTCTGGCAGTCTCACTAAGATGGACTAGAGAGAAGAGAGATGATGCAGGGAGGCCAGTTAGGAGGCTAGTACATTGAGTCCCAGTGAGAGATGATGATGTGCTCTAAGGTAGTATCTGGTAGGTGGAAAGGAAAGAATGGATAGGTGAGATAGTCTGAAAACAAATCAATAGGATTTGATGCCAGACTGGCTCAAGGGTTTCAAGAGGTAGAAAGAATTCTGAAATGACTCCAAAATTTATAACATGGGGGTCTGAAAGGGTGGTCATGCTGCTGACAGAAATGAGATGGCTGGGAAGGCAAGCCATTATGGGGTATATGGAGTGGAACAGAGGGTCACTAGCAATTCGAGCCCCCTGGACAGATTTAACTAAGGATGTGCTAGTGGGAAGGGGAAGAGATTTCAAACCTTGAGCCACAAGGTCCTGTAGGGAAAAAGATCCAGGGACACCACCTCATGTCTGAGAAGGCTGAGGCTCCAGGGACACAGGTCCATGGCTGGAGACCCCCTGAGATGGGAGCCAGGTGGAACTAGACTGGGGAGATGCAGCAAGGGAGAGAAGTGGGACCTCTGTTTAGGCTCCTATCCCTAACCCTAATCCTATATTCTTCTTATTTGAATGAATTACTCTTGTGGACAATTCAGTTCTATCCTGTCAGCCTGTCAGCATTTCAGCTGGGACAAAGTTTTGGTTGTCCTGTCTAGCGATGAGCTCCATCTTGGACCCCTTGAGTTTAAGGTGAAAGAAGCGTATTCATAGAAAGCCTTCTTCCAAGCCTTGGAGGTTCTAGGCTGGAGCTGAGCCTGAAAGGTCAGTGATTGAGAGGTACACTGGGCAGTCAGTTTCAGACAGGTGACAGGGCAATCCAATAGGGTTGATGAGACTGCAGAGGGAGAGAGAGAAGACCAAGAGAACCAAGACCAGAGCCTTGGGGGAACAGCAGCATCTGGGGGCTGGGGACGTGAAGAGGAGATCGGAGCTCACAGAATGAGAAGTTGGAATGGTGCTTTGGAGGCTATCTATCCCAGCTCCATCATTTTAATGGGGGGAATCTAGTAAGGGGGAGCCCCAAGTTCCCCCAGGTCACATGAGAAGCAGCTGCTGAGCCAAGAGAGAGTTTCCAGGAGGGGCCATTCAGTAGGGCCAATGCAGCAGGTGAAAGGGAGTGAGGTCTGAGGAAGGAGCACCAGCACTGCATTTGGGGACCTGGGAGGGGCCGGCTTCACTGAGTGCTAACAAGGGAAGCCAGATTGCAGAGGGTTACAAAATGAAGCCCTTCTAATCACCTCATGTAGGAAGGAACTGAAGCCCAGAGGAGGTAGTAAGTACTGAGTAAGTACTTACTTATTCAGGTAGTAAGTGCCAGAGCATCAGAATTTGAACCCAGGTGTGCTAGAGTAGAACTACATGCAAGTTGAGCGGTTGGACTAGGTGACCTCTAAGGAGGCTCCCCTGCCCTCCCATGCCCTATCCCTTCTAAGTAGGACTTTGTGACCCTGTGTTTGCCAGTGAAGGGAAGGAGAGAGTTTTGCTGGGGGGTAAGGTTTTTATTTTATTTTTTATTTTTTAAAATTATAAACTTAATCATCAACAAAGGCAGCTAGGTGGCTCAGTAGATGGAGTCAGAAGACCTAAGTTCAAATCCAGCTTCAGGCACTTACTAGCTGTGTGATCCTGGGCAAGTCACTTAACCCTGTTTGCCTTACTCCACTGGAGAAGGAAATGGCAAATCACTCTAGTATCTTTGCCAAGAAAACCCCATGGCCAGCATTGGTGTGCTATGTCCACAGGGTCATGAAGAGTAGGACAGAACTGATAATCAAAGTTCATCAACAAACATTTTAAATTACAAAGAACAAAAAAGAAGATTGTACATAAAACTGAACCTCTTTTGTGTACAATTTATTTTTTAAGTATATATTAAATTTAACAAGGTAATAACAAAATTGCCCTGTTTGTATTCTATTTGGAACTTTTTATTTTCTTCTATGTATTTTTAAATGTTTTATTGATCTTCCTTCCTTCCCTTCCCTTTCTTTCCTTCCTTCCTTCCTTCCTTCCTTCCCTCCCTCCCTTCCCTCCCTCCCTCCCTCCCTCCCTCCCTCCCTTCCTTCCTTCCTTCCTTCCTTCCTTCCTTCCTTCCTTCCTTCCTTCCTTCCTTCCTCCCTCCCTCCCTCCCTGTCTTAATGGGGAGAAGAGAGGGAAATGTCAAGAGGGAAGATTTTGTGTGGGCCTTTATACTGGGGGATCCTAAGCCACCAAGAGCCATCCTGAGGGCTCTGACATGGAAGGAGAGACCATCTGAGTGGGAGAGGAAAAAGGAGGCCTCCCGCAACCAGAAGTAGGATCTGAGCTGGACAACCTAGAGGAGGGGGCAGGAGGGAGCACAGGGGGAGGGAGAGCAGCTGGCTGCCACCTGAACCCATGGATTCAGTACTTGGCCCAATGTCCTGGCCTCACCCCTGCTCAGATTCTAGTGTCAGAGAAGTGTCTTTAGAGATGGACAGTGGATTTGATAGAAATGGAATTAGGGTTAGGGTTAAAAGAGGAGAGAGCATCTGCCCCACCCAATCTGAAGAACCACCACAGGCCCTCAGGGCTGGAGAGCTCCAGGAGAGCAAGGCAGTTCAACCACTCCAGGTCCTGCCCTTGGAAGAAGGAAACCAGGAGGATGCTGCAGGGCCTGGCCAGGGCTTCCTCACCTCACAGTCCTCTCTTCCCTATTCCTCTCTTCTCCAAGCTTGTCCAATGCAAATGGATGGAAAAAATGATTATGATTTTCCTTGGGTAGTCCAATGGGGTGTGGGGGGGAGACGGGGATGGAGAGGCTTAAGCCCCTGGCCCAATTAAGAGATCAGAAGTTTAAGCATTTGGGGAGCTTGGAAGGTGAGGAAGGCCACAGCTAATCCAGTAAGGCTGGTATAAAACCCAGTGACTGGGCTACCACCAGGACAGACAGCAGGTGGGGGAGGGGTGGAGGAAGGCTTCAGAGCAGAGGAAGAGCTGTGGATAAGTGGCTGAGGAGCATAGAGAGGGTAGGGAAAGGGAAAAAAGTAAGGGGGCCATGACACAGGCAGGGGACCCTGCAGGGTTCTTGGCTTGGCGGCGGACGAGAGCGAGGAGACTACTCGGGCAAGCCTTTTTGTTTATACCAACAGCAACAACACAAGGGGTGAGTGTGTGCCCAAGATGTTAGAGAGGTCACCGGTGAACAGGGCACATTGCCCTTCCCGCCCCAGGCCAGTGGGCTGGACATCAATGGGTAGAGTGGATAAAGGCTCAGGCCATTCTCATTTGGGAATGAAAAGGGGCCAACAAAGCAAATGTCCACCCAGGTAGACCCTCACAGGACCCCTCCTGTCACCTAGAAGACACTGGTAGATCACTGAATGAATGGGGGAATCACTGAATGGGGGAAACATGAAGCTAGAACAGAGACATAGAAAAACTTGCTCAGAAAGAAACATCATTAAAGACAGAGATGGGAAACTCAAGGATTTAGTGAGCAGGGCAGGCTTCACCAAGGAAGATGACCAAGAAGGGCAGAGGGTGGAGGGAAGAAAGGTTCTGAACCCAGGAATGGTGTCATGGAAGGAGAAATCCAATCCAGGCTTCATGAATTACCTTTCCCCCTTGGTGGGTGGTAGCATAAAGGCAGCCCAACATTAGCTATTGGGGCTTCTCCTCTGGTTGGGGGAAATGTTCTTTTTGGACATGGTTTCCAAGTGCCTCATCTAACAACTTGGTTTTTGGAAGGGGGCTCCCACCCCAGGCTTCATTATATGACTGCTTTCTCTCTAATCTTTCCCATCAACCACTCAATGCCCCCCTCCTATAGGCCCATTTGAAGGTCCCAATTATCACATCGCCCCACGCTGGGTATACAATCTCACAAGCCTCTGGATGGTCTTTGTGGTCATCGCATCAATCTTCACCAATGGGCTGGTGCTGGTGGCAACCATGAAGTTCAAGAAATTGCGCCACCCCCTGAACTGGATCCTGGTGAACTTGGCTGTGGCTGACCTGGGAGAGACCATCATTGCTAGCACTATCAGTGTCATCAACCAGATCTATGGCTACTTCATCCTGGGCCACCCGCTGTGTGTCCTGGAGGGCTACACTGTCTCTCTATGTGGTAAGGCAGCTCCAGGAGCAGCCTGGAAACAGAGATGGGCCTAAGGTGATGCTCGATTGAGAGGGGACAGAATTTGGGGGGGCTCTCTCACTCCTTCACCAGGCAGACACAATAGACCTTAGTACTCACTTAGCAAGAATGATTGGTTACAATAGGTTTCTCCAAGATGATTGGCTGGGCTGAGTTCCCACCTGCTCCTGCCTTGTGCAGCTGAACCCCAACTGAAGCCTGGTGCTTGCTCCAGATGTCCGAAAGTTTATGAAAGTGAGAGGAAGTGCCAGAAAGCAGAAATGACTATGGCTTTGGCAGAGCCGCCCTAATGTTAAGGTGTGGCCAAGCTATAGAAATGAGAATGGAAAAGCAATTTGTAAAAGAGAAGGAAAGAAAAAAGTGGGGAAAAAGAGTGAGAGATGAGGAATTTTATGTGCATTTGCATAGTGTTGGAAAGAAAAAAGGAAGGGAAGGAGATACAATAGAAAAAGAAAGGAAGAAAGAAAGAAAAGAGGGAAGGAAGGAAAGAAGAAAGGAAGGAAGAGGGAGGAAAAGAAGGAAGAAAGGGAGAAGAGAAGGAAGGAGGGATGGAGGAAGGAAGGAAGGAGGGATGGAGGAAGGAAGGAAGGAAGGAAGGAATTTTTTTCTGGGTGGTTGGGAGGCTGAGAGCATGTCTCTCCCTGGAAGTCCTGATGCCTCTCCCCCATTGGACTGATTGATGGGGGCCCGAGTGAGAGATGAGAGGCAGTCAGTCTCTTCACACCTCAAGATCTCTTGACTCCCCTGTTGGCCTCACCTCAGTCCCTGCTGACTCCATCCCTTGCTTTTCTCCCTTCTTTCTCTAGGCATCACAGGTCTCTGGTCCCTGGCCATCATTTCCTGGGAGAGGTGGGTGGTGGTGTGCAAGCCTTTTGGTAATGTGAAGTTTGATGCCAAGCTGGCCATGGTAGGCATCGTCTTCTCCTGGGTCTGGGCAGCTGTCTGGACTTCGCCACCCCTATTTGGCTGGAGCAGGTGAGCATTCCAAGGAGTAAGGCTCAACCATCCTTTCCTCAGAGTTCACGTATCAGGTAGAATCATGTATACTTGCTGCGTGACAGTTCTCTGGGCCTCAGTTTTCTCTGTAAAATTGGAATAATGGTATTCTACTATTTCCTCCACAGGGTTGGTGGGAGGAAAGTGCTTTGCAAACCTTAAAGTACCAGAGAAATGGGAGTTATTACTATTATTATTCTTTCTTTTTTTTATTTTATTAATTTATTTTGATTTATCAACAATCACTTCCGTATGCTTTTGAGTTTAAAATTTTTCTCCCCCTTCCTCCTCATCACCCTCCCCAAGACGACGCATGATATTATTGTTAATAATAATAAATGAAACACAGAAACCTCACCAGGGCTTGAATTATATGCAGCTTGATTCAATTCAATCCACCAAACATGTATTAAATGCCTTCTATGGTCAGTTTATCATAGGCTCTGCGATTCTGGGTGCAGATCTATACTTTTGGAGAGAGTTTCCTCACCAGGAATTCCCAACAAAATCATACCTATGGATGTCCTCTCCCTTCCTTCCCCCTCCTCCAAATTTGTAAGACCCTGCGATAGTGATACAAAGGATATGCTCTTGAGAAGCTTCTGCTATACTGGGGAGATCCAATTCGGGCCCAAGAAGGAAACCCAAATTATATACAAAGTGATTTCAAGAGAGAGAATACTACTAACTTGTGGGAGTAGGGGAAAGGCAGGGGCCCTAGGAAGAGTGTCTGAGCTGAGCGTTGGATTAATCAGAGGTGAGGAGAGGGAACATTCCAGACATGACGGGAAAGAAGGAAAGGAAAGGAAGGAGAGGCAGGAAATGGAATGCCCTGTCAGGTGCACGGCCAGCAGGCCAGTTTGATGAGAGGGAGCATAAATACTGTGTCAAAACCGAAGAGAGTCAATCAGGAAAATGAACAAGTATTTATTAAGCACCTTTGATCACTCTGGAAGAGAGAGTGAGGCTGAGGACTTAATTGCCTCATTTAAATCCAATCCACCAGCAAGTCAAGATGTCACCCCATGATGACATTGGTCTTCAAGGAAGAAGAAAAACAACAACTAAGCACCTACTATGTGCTAAGTGCTTTACAAATATGATTTCATTTGATTGTTACAACAACTCTGAGAAGTAGGTGCTGTTCTTATCTCCATTTTACAAATGAAGAGACTGAGGCCCAGAGAGGTTTAAGTGACTTGCTCAGGATCATACAGCTAGGAAGCGTGAGGTTGGATTTGAGCTCCGGTCTTCCTGACTGCAGGCCTGGTGCTCTATCTACTGTTGTGTCTGACTCTTTGTGACCCCATTTGGGCTGGGGTTTTTTTTGGCAAAGATACTGGACTGATTTGCCATGTTTTCTTCTCCAGCTTTCTATCCACTGCACCACCTAGCTGCCCTCTCTACCACACACTATTACTTTCATTTCTCTGATGCTCTTATGTTACATCTATTTGTTTTGTTTTGTTCTTATGACATTTTATCGGGTGGATTATGCCAATTTTCTCCCCATTTTACATGAGGAGAAACTATAGACCAGAGTGGGACAGAGTTCAGCTAAGGGTCACATGGTGAGTTGGTAGCAAAGTAGGCCTCTGGCAACTTGGCTCCCCTTCCATTGTCTCTAGGATTTTGAGTGCTAGTTCTGCCACCAACTTGTGCTGGAACATGGGGCACTAGGAACTTTCTCTGGCCTTGAGTTTTCCCATCTGTAAAATTAAGAAGTTTGGTTCTTTTAGGCAAAGGAGACCAATAAGTCTGTGCCTTAGGTTGCTTCATCTCCTTAATGTTCAGTCAGGTATACTGGCTTTGGCTCCACATTCCATCTCTGAGCCTTAGTTTCCTTATCTGTAAAATGACATTGTTTGGTCTTTCCTTTCTTTATTTATCTGCCTTTCTGTCAATCCATTTAGGTGGTGCAGTGGATAGAGCACTGGTTCAAATCTGGCCCAGATACTTGCTAGCTATGTGACCCTGGACAAATCACTTAACCTCTGTCTGCCTCAGTTTCTTCAACTATATAATAGGGATAATAATCGCACCTACCCCCAGGATTGTTGTGAGAATCAAATGAAATAATATTTGTAAAGTGCTTAGCACAGTGATTGGCATATAGTAGGCACTTAATAAGTGCACTTAATAAGTGCTTTCTCTCTCTTACTGGGGTTCTTCTGAAAGTGCTAACTCAAAGCTTTAAGAGGTTTCTACCATGCCCTTCCCCCCATACTCCTCTCTGAGGACCCTCTGACTCTTGGTGATGTCGGCAGGTGTCCTTTGACCTTTGACCGCCATACTCCATACTCCTCCTAACCCTTTGGGGAGTGAGCAGAGCCAAGCCAAGGAAAGTGCTAAAACTGCAGCAGAAGGAATTAAGGTTAGACCAGAGAAAGAAAGGAAGGCTGTGAGGTATGAGGATCCAAGCACAAAGGAGTGGTCTTCTCCTCTGTGTGCATCAGTTTTCTCCTCTGAAAAAGATGGGTTTGAATGAGATGATCCCTCCAGCTGAGTTTATAATCTATCATAGCATTTCTCAAAGTGTGATCTGGTTTCCCCTTTACTATACTTGTGTTTCCCTCTTTGAAAAAACAGGGGTTTGAGCTAGCCGAGCTCTGAGCAGTGTCTTCAGGCATGGAACTTGGGTCTAGTATATTTTCTCTAGAAGGAGCTGTGTTCTAGAGGGATGGGAATAGTATTCCTCAGTCATCCTTTATTAGGCGCCTCCTAAGCTAGGTGGTACTGCAGTGGATAGAATGCCAAGTCTGGAGTCAGGAAGACCTGAGTTCCAATCTGGCCTCAGACACTTACTAGCTGTGTGACCCTGAACAAGTCACTTCACCTCTGTTTGCCTTAATTCACTGGAGAAGGAAATGGCAAACCACTCCAGTATCTCTGCCAAGAAAACCCCAAATGGAGAAATGAAGAGTCAGACATGACTGAAAAATGATAGGACAATAAGAGGACAGAGACTACTTTGCCATTGTATCCCTAGTGCAGGGCTTGGTACACAGTAGATGCTTGATACATGCTTTTGGGAGCATTGTTGAACTGCATGTTGGCTCATAGGAAAGAGTGTGGGGTTTGGAGTCAGAGAATCTGGCTTCAAATCCTGAATCTGCTCCTCCTTATCTTGTGGCCCTGGGCAAGAGCTTTGCTCTACTCTGGGCCTCAGCTTCCTCAGCTATTAAATCCAGGCTTCTCCTGACTTCAGGCCCCAGAGCCTATGTGATAAGGTCATGTGATAGCCCCAAAGCCTGGGTCTTCTGCTTGCCCTTCAGTTTCAGTCTTGTCCCTTCATTCTCAGGTACTGGCCTCATGGGCTGAAGACTTCCTGTGGCCCTGACGTGTTTAGTGGCAGCTCCGACCCTGGCGTTCAGTCTTACATGATTGTCCTCATGTCCACCTGTTGCATCTTCCCTCTCAGCATCATCCTCCTCTGCTATGTCCAAGTGTGGCTGGCCATCCGGGCAGTGAGTATCCTTTCACCTCAAAAAGTCCACGTTGGCAGGGGCTCTGGCTCAAGCTTCCCAGCAGTAAGAGACTAGCGAAGAATCTGAAAGGCAACAGGGCATAGTGAATGGAGTGAATGGTGGATGATGGGAAGACCAGAGTTCAAATCCTGCCTTGGACATTTAACAGCTGTGTGACTGGGCAAATCACTTATGTTTCTGAGCATTGATTTCTTCTGTAAAATGGGGATGATAATAATAGCACTTAGTGGATAGGAGTATTACAGGGCTTAAATAAGAGAATGTGTGTAAATTGCTTTATAAACCTTAAAGTGCTGTATAAATATTTACTATTATTATGATCGTTCTGAACCTGTCCAGCATGTGAAAAATACCCTAAGTGTAGAGGAATCCCCAAAGAAGGAGGGATCAGATTGTGGAATCATAGGACTCTGGATATGGAGCTGGGAGGAACCCCAGAGACTATTAAGTCCAACCCCCTCATCTTACAGAGGAGGAAACTGAGGCCCGGGAAGGGGAAATGACTTATCCAAGGTCATGCAGGCAGTAAGTGGTAGGACTGAGGGTGGAAGCCATTCAATGCACCCAAACCAGTCCATCGAGAGATGCTTTTAACAGATTCCTTGAACTCTTCAGATGAGTTGTGGAATGTGCAACTCAGCTAATAATGCTCCATACATTTAGAAAGCATTTCGAGACATGATATCGTTTTAGTCTTATAACAACCCTGGGAGGGAGATCCTTGAGGCATTAGGAGGAGATGCTGAGGTTAAGAGAGTGATGTGCCCAGGATCATATAGCTAGTAAGTATCAGAGGTGAGGCTTGAACGCACAGCTTTCTGTCCCCAAGTCTGACTCTCTTATCCATTCTGCCTCCAGCTCTCTCACCACCTTCATTTGTCTCTCTGTCTCTGTGTCTCTCTCTCTGTGTCTCTCTGTCTCTGTCTCTCTGTCTCTCTCTTTGTCTCTCTGTCTCACTCTCTGTGTCTGTGTGTCTCTCTCTGTGTCTCTCTGTCTCTGTCTCTGTCTCTGTCTCACTCTGTCTCCATGTCTCTCTCTGTGTCTTTCTCTCTGTGTCTCTCTGTCTCTCTCTGTCTCACTCTCTGTCTCTGTGTCTCTGTCTCTGTGTCTCTCTGTCTCTGTCTCTCTGTCTCTCTGTCTCTCTGTCTCTGTGTGTCTCTCTCTGTGTCTCTGTCTCTGTCTCTGTCTCTCTCTGTCTCACTCTCTGTCTCTGTGTCTCTTTCTCTGTGTCTCTCTGTCTCTGTTTCTCTGTCTCTGTCTTTCTCTGTCTCACTCTGTCTCTGTGTCTCTCTCTGTGTCTCTCTCTGTGTCTTTCTCTCTGTGTTTCTCTGTCTGTCTCTCTGTCTCACTCTCTGTCTCTGTGTCTCTGTCTCTGTGTCTCTGTCTCTGTCTCTCTGTCTCTGTCTTTCTCTGTCTCACTCTGTCTCCGTGTCTCTCTCCGTGTCTTTCTCTCTGTGTTTCTCTGTCTCTGTCTCTCTGTCTCTCTCTGTGTGTGTCTCTCTCTCTTTGTCTCTGTCTCTGTCTCTGTCTCTGTCTCTCTCTAGTTATCCCTTCTGCATTGTGAGGGTTAGGGGTGCTGTGTTCCTTGGCATCTGAAAAATCCACATAAATTTTTTTTTTTTTTATGATTTCACATCATACCAAGGAAGAAGTCTGAATTTTTTCTTTTAAGTTTATGAGGCATTAAGTATTTGGTCATAGGCTCTGTGTCTTCTGCTGGCCTTCAAGTGTTGTCTGCAGCTTCCTCAAAATTCCCCCAGAATCCCCATTTAATTTCTTATGCCGACCCATGCTATATTGAAACCATGATGGGGAAAGTCGCGATGTGGAAGGGATGACTGCATACATACATACATACACACACACACACACACACACACATATAATATATATATATATATATATAAAAAACATATATTAGTCTAAACCAAATATTTACTAAACACAATATGATTTATAATAATATAATAAAATATAATAAAACATGATACAATATATTAATATATAATATAATAATAATATAATAATATAATTGAATATAATAATATAATTGAAAACAAATACATGCCAAAGGAACACAATATATTTTTGAGGAGCATGCTGGAGCTGGGGGTGGGAAGGCATTGGTCATGTCTTGAAAGTCTTCTTGTAGATGATGGTTTTTGAGATGGGATTTGAAGGAAAGTCGGAACTAGAAGAGGCAAAGGTGAGGAGGGCTCACACCCCTGAAATGTAAGAAGGCAGGGAGCCCAGTGGTGGAGCATTTTGTGTATGAGGATGAGCCCGAAGGACAGTCTGGCTAGACTGGTGACCATGTAAAGGGAAGCTGGAAAGGGCACTTGGGACTTTAAAGGCCAAACAGAAGAGTTCCTATTTGACCTTAGTGGTCATAGACTGCCACTGGACTTTATTTTCAGCTCTCCAGTTGCAGTGAGAGAATTGCAAATGAAGATTGACCTGGCTCCCTAGGGTAGCTCAAAGCACAGTTAAGTGAGGTACTTTTTGAAGGGATTTTATTTCCTTGCTTCAGATCTGTTACTTTATTAGTGTAGAGAACTTCCATTATGGAAATTCCTTCCAGTGATGCAAATCCATGCAGTTCATCTGTTCCCTATAGTCTTTTTTTCCCTTTTTTTTTTGTTTTTATTTTTAGGCAGTTGGGGTTAAGTGACTTGCCCAGGGTCACACAGCTAGTAAGTGTCAAGTGTTTGGTCTGAGGCCAGATTTGAACTCAGGTCCTCCTGACTTCAGGGCCGGTGTTCTACCGGCCACCTAGCTGCCCCTCCCTATAGTCTTAATAAGCTTCTCGTGGCCCAGAGAGGTCTTGATTTGTCCATAATCACACAGACAGTATGTGTCAGAAGCAGGACTTGAACCCAGGTCTCCCTGAATCCAGGTCTGTCCCTTAATGTTGCTGATGGGATCATAGGATCACAGGATCACAAACTGAGAGTCGGAAAGGACCTCAGAGGACATCTAGACCAACCCCTTCATTTTACAGAGGAGGAAATTGAGGCCCAGGAAGGGGAAGTGACTTGGCCACAGTAACACAATGGAAGAGCCTAGGATCCAAATACAGTATAGGTCCTCACCTTCAAACTCTAGGGGCCTCCTTCTATCACCCCATCCCCAGTCCTCCTAGTGTCCTCTTTGCCTGGCACCCCCCCACCCTCTAATGGGTTATGACTGCCTTGCCAATCTTGGTCCTCTTTATTGCTCTCTGCAGTAATCCAGGGGCACAGTAGAAGACACTCTGACCAAAGGCTTATCCAATGAGGCCAGGACCCCCTAGGGGCCCAGCTTCCTCCTTAGGACATCCCAACTTCGAGTGAGTACAGCCTGGCATAGCAGATAGAGTGCTAGGTAGGAAATTAGGAAAACCTGGGCTCAAATCCTGCTGTGTGACCCTGGGCATTTCATTTAATGTCTCTGAGCATCTGTTTCTTCATCTGTAAAATGGAAATAGTCAGTTGTTTGGCTATTGTCCTTCATTCTCAAAGAGGACCAAAATGACATCATTATATTGGGGTTGAGGTACAATGCATTGGACTGTAGCTGATCAGACCAATACGAGCTTGAAGTGCTCTACCATAGGTTGGGCACAAATAGTCCATGTGAACATTTGGAAATGGAAATAATAATAGCACTCAGTGGACAGAATTATTGCAAGGCTTAAATGGGAGCATGCATGTAAAATGTTTTATAAACCAGTAAGTGCTACATAGATGTCTAATATTATTATGAATTATTATCCCGCCCCAGGGCAGGCCATGGTCCCTTAGAGACTTTGATAGTGATTGGGGGAGTCATCAAAGCCTTAGAGAGTGCCAGCCCCTTTCTGCCTCACTGAGAGTGGGACCATCGTCAGTTTGATTGTGGATGGTGAGACTTGGAAAAAAAATAAACGTTTTATTAAAAACTTAATTAAATATCAGTACAAACAACCATACTTTACTCTATTGAAACTTTTATTCTGGTGGGGGTAGGGTTGTGGGAATGAGCCTGTGATTTCATAGATGTGGGAAAGTCCCTCTCATCAATGTGGGAGCACAGGCTCTTCAATTTCGAGCCTCAGAGAGTTTCATGGGGCTGCCTGCAAGTGCCAGCATGGTCAGTCAGCTCTTGAGCCCAGGTCCTTGTGACTTCTAGGCCAGCTCTAGTTCTGTTGGCATGATGCCTCACTGCCTCTCATTTACATGACTTGATTTCAATCAGCGCTTTCTCAGTTTCTCCCCCTAAATTCCTGTCAGGATTCTTCATCTAATCATTTTCAGTCATTTTGCATCCTATCATAGTTTTTACTCCAGTAATTCTCAAAGTTTTTGGTCTCAGGAACCCTTTACACTTTTATAAATTATAAAAGATCCCCAAAGTTTTTATTTATGTGAGTTATATCTAGCATTAACTATCATATTTGAAATTGAAACATCTTAGTACTATTATGAAAATCCTTTGGACTTCCCAGAGTCCTTCAAATGATCTCAGGGACCCCCAGAAGCCACATGTTGAGAACTGCTGGTTGACACCATTCTTCTGGTTCTGTTTGTTTTTTCTTGCTTTGCACTATTTCATAAAGGTCTTACGTTCACATACCACCATTCATTATACCAATCCTGTATTGCTGGGCGCTGAAGTTGCTTCCAGTCTAAACAAGGGCTGGTGGCATCTCCCTCCTTCTGGCTGCCTCCTTGAATCACTACGCAGTTGACAGGAAGTTGGAAATCATCTAAAAGCTTTAGAGCTGACAGGAGCTTTAGAGTGTCATATGGAGCATAGGAACACAGTCATCTAGCCCAGCTCCCTCATTTTACAGAGGTGGAAACTGAGGCCTAGAAAGTCAAAGTCACTTACTCAAGGTCAAGAGTTGTGCAAGGGGTGGGGAAAGGAGTGGGGTGGTCAAGGACTTTTCTGTGCAGGTCACCTAGAAAGGTCAAAAGATCACAGACTTTAAGCTAGAGAGGATCTCAGAGATCCTCTGATCCAGTCCTTCATTTGATAGATGAGGAAACCAAGTCTAAGAGAGGTGAATTTACTTGCCTAAGGTCACACAGGTAGCAGGATTTGAACTCAGGTCCTACAAATTGAAGGTTCTTCCCACTCCACCAGGATGTCTCCTGGAACTGGCCAGATGCTAGATGAGAGAGAGTCATTGTCCTTTGGAGGTACTCTAGGAAAGAATTTAGAAAGGGAATTGAGGAGACTTCTCATTCCTCCACACTCAAGATATATATATATATACACACACATATATATGTGTGCATATGTATATGTGTGTATATATATACATATACATACACATATATACACACACATATATATACATATATATACACATACACACACACACACACACACATATATTTCCTACTTGAAGGAGAGACCTGAGCAGAACACAGATTTCTTTTTTTAAAATTTATTTTATTAATTTATTTTGATTTATCAACAATCACTTCCATATGCTTTTGAGTTTAAAATTCTTCTCCCCCTTCCTCCCCACCACCCTCCCCAAGACGGTGCTCAATCTGATACGTGCTATACATTTACATTCCTGTTAAACATATTTTCACATTAGTGATGTTGTAAGTAAAAATTAAAACCAATAGGAGGAACCATCAGAAAGAGGAAACAAAACTCAACAGAAGAGAAAAAAAATAGCAATTCAACTTCCATAGTTCTTTCTTTGGATGTGGATAGCATTTTCCATCACGAAGCCTCTGGAGATGTCTTAGACCCTTGTACTGCTGGGAAGGGTTAAATTTATCAATATTAGTCATCGCACAACATGGCTGTTATTGTGTGCAACATTCTTTTGGCTCTGCTCACTTCACTCAGCATCAGACCATACAAGTCTTTCCAGGTTTTTCTGAAGTCAGCCTGCTCATCATTTCTTACAGTACAGTCGTATTCCCTTACATTCACATACCACAACTTGCTCAGCCATTCCCCAATTGATGGGCATCCTCTCAATTTTCGATTCTTTGCCACCACAAAAAGAGCTGCTAAGCTGCTATGAATATTTTTGTACATGTGGGTCCTTTTCCCATTTGTATGATCTCTCTGGGATACAGCCCTAGAAGTGCTATTGCTGAATCAAAGGGTATGCACATTTTTGTAGCCCTTTGGGCATAGTTCCAAATTGTTCTCCAAAATGGCTGGATCATTTCACAACTCCACCAACAATGTGTTAGTGCAGAACACAGATTTCAAAGGCCATGGTCTTATCATCTTCCAACTTCCAAGGAGCCAACCCCAAATCCAAATTTCTTCTGAGCTCTGAATAAGTTTTCTGGTCAAATAATGACTGACGATGATGAAGACCAAAAAAATCAATGTTTTATATGAGAATTCTAATCCAAAGAACTCCTTGAGTTATTGTTATGCATGCGTGCATGTGTGCATGCATGTGGGGGGGGGCTGGGAGAAGGGGGCCTAGTGTAGATCCTAAGGCACAGGACCCAGAGCAATTGCCCCAATTTGTGATGTCTTAGCAATGGCTCATATTTGCCTGTGCCTCATTGGCTGCATCCTTCCCTTAGGTTGCTAAGCAACAGAAGGAATCGGAGTCTACCCAGAAGGCGGAGAGGGAAGTGTCCCGCATGGTGGTGGTAATGATCCTTGCCTACTGCTTTTGCTGGGGGCCCTATACCTTTTTCGCATGCTTTGCAGCAGCCAACCCTGGCTACGCCTTCCACCCTTTGATGGCATCCTTGCCTGCCTACTTTGCCAAGAGTGCCACTATCTACAACCCCATCATATATGTCTTCATGAACCGGCAGGTAAGTAGGACATCAAGAACTAGAACATCAGCCCTGCCACTCTCTGTGTGAGCGACCTCAGAATTGGCCATAAAGCATTGAACTAAATAGTGGTCTGTACTACCCACTATCTTGTATGTAACAGTCCTCTAAGGGCCAGAGAGTTGATGGGAGAACATGATTGCATGTATAGCCCTCAAGAACCTGTTAGCATCTACCAGCCATAGATTAGGATCAGAGTATCATAAGATTTAGCATTGAAAGAGATCTTCTAGATTGTCTGTTTTTACAGATGAGGAAACTGAGGCTCAGATGGGGCAGTACCCAAGGTCACCAAGGTAATAATACTTGTACTAATATTAACACTAATACTTTTTTTGGGGAATTTTAACATTTTATTTTTCCCAATTACATGTGAAAACAATTTTTAACCTTCATTTTTTACAATTTTGAGTTCCAAATTCTCTCCCACTCGCCCTTCCTGAGATAGCAAGCAATTTGGTAAACGTTATACATGTGCAGTCATGCAAAACATATTTTCATATTATTCATGTTGTGAAAGAAAACACAGACCAAAAAAAAAAAACAACCCAAGAAAAAGAAAGTAAGAGAACAGTATTGATACTAATACTAATAAGCCTGGTACAATAGATAGAGAGCTGGCCTTGGAGTCAGGAAGACTCAGGTTCAAATTCTGCCTCTGACACATGTTGGTCACTAACCCTCTCAGTGCCTCGGCATCAGAAAAGTTGCTAATTTGCATTGTTCGAGGGATTTTCCTTACCTGGAATTTCTCTGTAACAATGAAATAGCAGGCTTGCATCAAGAAGAGGCAGGGCCAATTTTTTATGCACCCCGATCCACTGATTTCAAATAAGATCACAGATTTAGATCTAGAAAGACCGTGGGAAGTCATCCAGTCCAACCCTGTCATTTTATAGAGGATAGTGGTATAGAGATCTGCTTGAAGTCACATGGGTAGTAAGTGGGAAACCCATTGCTTTTTCTAATCTCGCATATTCTTCTTAAATGGATTGGTATTTTGACTTCATATCTCACTACTCTGGGAAACCATCTTCCTGCATTTACTATCTGCCTTGGAAAAAAATGGCTCCCAAACTACCTTTCTCAAACTTCAAGGGACTCAGCCCAGGTCCAGTATTCTAGGCTTTAGAAAACAAATCCCTAGTTACCCTTTGCATTACTGTCAAGATTTTATAGACTTTTACACTATCCTCTCTCTCTCTTGCTATTCTGAAATCTTCATCATCTTGCTTCATATCAGGGCAGCTGGGTAGCACAGTGGGCAGAGCTCTGGGCCTGGAGTCAGGAAGACCTAACTTCAAATGCAACCTCAGACAACCTCTGGGGTGACCCTGGGCAAGTCACTTCACCTCTGCCTGCCTCAGTTTCCTCATCTGTAAAATGGGGATAATATTAACACCTACTCCATAGGGTTGTTGTAAGGATCAAATGAAATAATTGTAAAGTGCCTGGCACATAGTAAACACTATCTAAATGTTAGTCATTGTTATTAGGAAGGCCCTGTAATAATTGTGGAGTCTAGTGGCTTTCCCTCCCCTCTTTTCCCCCATCCTCTGCTCAAGAAGCTTCATTGGTTTCCTACTGTCTGTAGGAAAACTCTTTACAATGTGGTTCCAAACTGTCTTTGTAGACTTTTTCTCATGGTTGCCTCTGATGTAATCCTTACATGACACATTTTTGCACAGGCTGTCTACCATACTTAGAATGTTCACCCTCTTCACTGTGGCCGCTTTTCCAGGTGGGGATGTGGGACACTCCAAGAATCAGTGTGGAGACTGGCATGGAATCTTGCCAAGGGCTTTGAAAAATCTCTTACAAATTATATTTGCTTGTTTCACCTTGTCCACATTCTTACCACCACCACCCCCAAACCCCCAGAGTACTTTAGTAAGTTATTGAAGCATCATTTTCTTTTTTAAAAAAATTATTTTCATTTATTTATTTATTCATTTATTTTTAGGCAATTGGGGTTAAGTGACTCGCCCAGGATCACACAGCTAGTAAGTGTGTCAAGTGTTTGGTCTGAGGCCGGATTTGAACTCAGGTACTCCTGACTTCAGGGCCGGTGCTCTATCCGCTGTGCCACCTAGCTGCCCCTGCATCATTTTCTCTTAAAGAAATCATGTTGCCTTTCCATACCATGGAGTCAAGGAAGATCTGGCTTCAGATCCCACCTCTGATACTTTCCAGCTTGTATTACTCTGGGCAAGTCATTTAACCTTTCTCAGCCTCCGTTTTCTCATCTGTGAAATGGGGATAATTAGAGCATCTACCCCAAAGGTTGTTGTGAGGATTAAATGAGATAATGTGGTAAAATGCTCTGCACACCTTAAAGTAATATATAAATGTGAGTTGCTTTTATTCATCCAGGGAAGCCCACAGCTACTTTCAGTGTGTGTATATGTGTGTGTGTGTGTGTGTGTGTGTGTGTATGTGTGTGTGTGTGTGTGTGTGTGTGTGTGTGTGTGTGTGAGAGAGAGAGAGAGAGAGAGAGAGAGAGAGAGAGAGAGAGAGAGAGTGCATGAGGAGGGGAAGGGAAAGGGGTGAATGTAGTGGAGTTACAATTTTAAGAAATTTCTTGAATGACTGGCGTACATTTGGGCTAATTTTTTTTTGTTTTGTTATTTTGCTTTTTGGCTAGGCAGTGGGGTTAAGTGACTTGCCCAGGGTCACACAGCTAGTAAGTGTTATGTGTCTGAGGCCAGATTTGAACTCAGGTCCTCCTGACTCCAAGGCTGGAGCTCTATCCACTGTGCCACATAGCTGCCCCTGATTTGGGCTAATTTAAAAAAAAAATTGGCATCAGTTCAGATATGATGAGGGGACTTGTCTAGAAGTTAAGGCTTCCCAGATCCTCTCAGGAACCAACTGGCAAAAGAAAAAAAAAACACTAGATCTAAATGAGCTCTTCTGGGTGGAGGAGAAGAGGTTGGCATAGTAGAGAAAGGCCCATTCAATGCTCCCTTACTCTTCTGACCTTCCCCAGGAACAACAGGACAGAAAAAGGGGAAGGAACACCATGCACCACTTCCTCGAGGCTTTTTTTTAGAGGTTTCTTCCCCACCTAGATGTGTCCAGACATCCTGAGATGGTTTGCATGACTGCCATGAAGGTGTCCATTTTTAGGCGAGGCCAGTTGCTGTCCAAGGTGACAGAACAGTAAGGAGCTCTCTCTCTGCAGCCTTGTGCTATGGCCAGAGGGCTAAACTTGTCTGGAGGCCAGCTTCTCTGGCCATTACCAGCAGTGTGCCTTTATTTCAGTTTCTCATCTGAAGGCTGTTGTGAGGGTCAAATGAGATAATATGTAAAGTGCTATGTAAATGTCAGCAATTGATAACAGGGTGTTCATTAGTGTTCCAATGAACATTTAGAGTGTTCTGATAGTTGCTCACATACTCCATCTATGAGTCTGTCTAATCTAGAGTATTCTTAAGGCTGGAAGAAAGTAGAGGCAGAAGGAAAGATTATGGAGTTTTTCTGATGGCACATGATGAATCAAATACTTAGCGCAGGTCCGCTTTGCAACATTGTCTAATGCTTTCTGTCTTTCCAGTTCCGAACCTGCATCCTACAGCTTTTTGGGAAGAAGGTGGATGATGGCTCTGAAGTTTCTAGCACCTCTAGGACAGAGGTCTCTTCTGTGTCCTCTGTGGCCCCTGCATAAACTCCCCCCACTGCCTCCCCCACCCCAAGGCCTGATATCAAGGAACTGTGCCTCACACAGAAACAAAACCTTCCATCCCCACTTTTCCAGGCCTTAGTCTTTGCTTTTCTTCCCACCCTCATCTTGCCCTGTTTCCTTCCCAACTTTGTGGAACAAAGTGTGGATTCTCCTCTTCTAGGCAACCAGCCACAAAGGTTGCCAATACTAGTCTCCTGGAAGCTTTCCCACTTCTGAGTTTCCAATTGTTTGAGAGACCCCATTCCTCCCTTTCTGGGCAGCCAGAGTCTAAGGCTGCCAAGGTCATCCCATTCTCAGAGCAGAGGTGGAACAGAAAGCAAAGACGAGTCCAAGGAGGAGGCACTAGGGAACACAAAGGAGATGGATTTCTTACTTTTCAGCTTTTAATATTTAAACACTAAGGAAAGTAGACAGTAGAAAACCCCATCCCTTCTCTGAATCACCCATTTTGGGGGAAGGTGGTCAGGAAGCATGAGCAGAAATAACTTGGGGGAGAAGTATTGAGTTTTTGAAAACTTCATAGCAGCAGGAAGAAGGAACAGAGGACAGGCCATTCCTGAAGGAGACATCTAGCAGGCATTCCCAGGCTGAAGAGACTTGTCTTGCTGCTTTAAGCTTAACTCATCAGAGGCCTGGAGTCTGTATAATACAATTTCAATCTCGATAAGATCTGCTCATGCCAATATGTGTACAGAATGGAGTACTTCTGCCAGGTGACCATCCCCAGCCCAATGAGCAGGAAGATGGTGCAGAAACAGAGACGACATCTGATGAAAGGAAAGGGGGACGTGCAGATGGTGGATACACAGATGAGGAGAATGGTGGTCAAAGTGAGGATCAAGCTCATGAACTTGGCTAGGAAGACTTGGGAGTGGCTTCTGGGCTTCTCAGTTATTTCTAGTTGGGCTACTTGCTGCTGGGTCTCCAGTTTGGAAATTTGATTCTGAAAGGTCCGTATCACCTCCTGAGGGTGACAAAAATACACACACATACATACATGCATATATGTCAGAAGACCCTCTTTGTTATTGAGTTCTTAGAGAGCACCTAACGAACACTTAAGAGTGTTCTCATAGTTGCTTACTTGTAGGCACTTCTAGTGAAGCGTGCTTGCTGCTTCTAGCTTAGGATATGGTGGGCAACAGGCACAGAGTGAGGCATACACCGCTAGATGCAGCCAATATGGTCATCTGTTCTGCTTAGTTGTACTTTGCTACAAAGGAGGATTCCATTGGGAGTGAGGGAGTCACTGGGAAATGAAGGAAGTAAAAAGATGGCCATCAATCATTTAATTGAATCGAATTGCACATTTTCCTTTTAAGAGGAAAGAGACCAGAGGGAATGCAGAGAAATGCAAGAGAAATGATGACAAACAGTGGGGCTTCACTCTCTGCTCCCTGGCCTTTCATCAGTGAGGAGTAGGCTGTTGGGACTCAGCTCTTGTTCTCATCCTTGTGAGCAAGGGGGCCTGCCGATCCAGCAGGGATTTAGGGGCAAAGTCCAGGGCTTATTAAACTCTTTTCACTCTAGACCCCTTTGTTGAGGTCAAGTTTGAGAGAGCGGTTTGGGTGTGAAAGAATTCAGGAGCTTTATTTAACGTGTAAGCAACACGGGTCTCCTTAGCAAGAAAGCTAATTGAGGCCCCGATATTTGGAGGAGTTATGCTTATATAGAGGTTTCAGAGTGATGATGTAGTTTTAGGGTTTTGTGGTGGTTAAAGATAAGGACAGGATAAGGAAGACAGGGGAAATTTTATGACACAGGATGAGGAAGAAAAAAACAGTTCTTTGGTCTTAGAAGAAGTTTTGTGGTATTTCAAGATAAAGGGCAAAAGGACTTTAGGACACCCTGAAGCTCAGGAGGGGCCTCACAAAGTACTGCAAAAGCAAACTTTAATATTCTTTTTAACCCTTAGGGTACTGTTTGTATCCACAGCACCTGCAGTGCTTCATAAACTGTGGGTTGAGACCCCATGTGCGTTTAAGAAGCGCTGGGGACAGAAGGAGGACGTGCATTCAAGACCTGCCTCAGCGCATTGCTCACATGGGTGGACAAATCCCTTAACCTGTCAATGCTCTTAGCGACTGTCAAAGATTGTAGGTTATAGATGGGGCTGTTGTCTTTTTTAGATTTTAATTTAATTTTTATTTTCAGTTCCAAATTTTCTCCTTCTCGCTAACCCTCCTCCACCCATTGAGAAAGCAAGAAATACGATTCCCATTATACATACACAGTCATGCAAAATGTATTTTTGCATTAGCCATGTTCTGAAAAAAAAGAAAAGAGAAATAAAGGAAAAATACGCTTCAATCTGCACTCAGAGTTCATCAGCTCTTTATAGAGGTGGAGAACATTTTTCATCACCAGCCCTCTGTGGTGGATCATCGGTTTGATCAGTCTTTCACAGCTGATTTTCCTTACAATATTGTTGTTGTATCAATTGTTCTCCTAATTGTATTAATTGTTACCAGGAGAACAATTCTATCACAATCATATGCCACACCCTGTTTAGCTATTTCCCAATTTCCAATTCTTTGCCACCGCAAAAAGAGTCGTTATAAATATTTTGGTACATATTTGTCTTTTATGGAGCTATATTCTTAAAGGAAACCTTTCTATACTAAGAATTCCCTCCATGGTTAAAAGCAAAGGTCTGTACCAGAACAGCAGGGGTTAGGAATTCAATCTGTGGGCTTGGAACAGTCTGAAACGAACTGATTATACAGGCTCCAGGTCCTTGGCCTTGGGGACAAAGCAAGTGTTCCTAAATACCCTCATTAAAGTGCTGACGGGGAAGGTGATTGGTGACGAGGGGGAGGGGGGAGGTTAAAAGGAGGCTGTATGTGTGCGTAGGGACCTAATAATTCTCAAGTTCCTATTTCCTTTGCCCTTGAAAAGACTTCCGGCTGTGAGTTTGGGGGCGCAGATTGGCGAGAAGGAGAAAAGCAGACTGTGAGCTCTGTCTGCAATGCTGGCCACAGCAGGCGATCAGCCTCCGGGTTCAGAATGATGTTCTGGGGCACAAATGTCACTGTAGATAGTGGGAGCGCTCAGATCCAGGCCCAGGCCCAGAGCGAAGATGCGCGCTGCCCACCGGGACTCTGAGAGGCAGTATGTGCTAGCATGAGTCAGATCCGGGGCAAAGCCAGTCTCTGGGGCGCCAGACTGGGTAGTGTTATGAAAGCCGGATCAGCTGATGGGCGGACAAAGCCCCTCCCTTACAAGATTTCTTTCTCTGGGCTGATTAAGGTCACTGACCCTTGAAAAGAGGTGCCAGACTCATAACTCCTGCACATAATCCTTTCACACCCTCCACACCCTCATCCCCAGAAGGAATTTTAAAAGTTTTCCATTTTGGGAAAAGGTCAGGAGAATGGGTGGGAAAAGTAATTGAGCTGAGCACTTCCTAGGGTAACCCTTAACAAGCATCTCATTCATATTCTTTGTACAGTAAAAGTATGCGTGGCTGCAGTATAGACTGCTCACGAAATGATATGAAATACAGAGAGGCCACAGGACTGAAGGGGCCCTCCCAAATGCAGGCTGGGGGCAGAGCCAGAGAGTGAGAGCCAGAGCCAATTTTTTATAATTTGTATATGTCAAAGAGATCTTTTTTTTCTCCCTCCTTCCCCCCTTTTCTCTCTTTCTTCTTCCTCCCTCTCATTTTTTTCCCTCCCCCCTCTCTCTATCCTCACTCCTTCTCTCTTTTCTCCCTCCCACTCTCTTTCTCTCTCTGTCTCTTTTTCTCCCCCATTCTCTTTTCTCCCTTCCTCCCTCTCTCTTTTCTCTCTCTTTCCTCTCTCTTTTCTCCCTCCCATTCTCTGTCTTCTCCCTCCTTCCCCCCACTGTCTCTCTGCTCCCTGCCTCTCTCTCTTTTCTCCCTCCCTCTTTCTTTTCTCCCTCTCTGTCTCTTTTCTTCCTCCTGCTCTTTTCTCCTTCCCTCCTTCTCTTTTTTCCCTCCCTCCCTCTCCTCTCTCCGTCTCTCTCTTCTCCCTCCTCCTTCTTTCTCTTTCCCTGCCCCTCTCTCTTTTCTCCCTCCCTCTTTCTCTTCTCCCTCCCTCCTTCTCTTCTCCCTTTCTCTTTCTCTCTCTTCTACCTCCCTTTCTCTTTTCTCCTCTCTCTCTTTCTCTTTTCTTCCTCCTTCCTGCTCTTTTCTCTGTCTGTCTCTGTCTCTGTCTCTCTGTCTCTCTTTCCTTCTCTCTCCCTCCCTCCATATATATATATTTCATATATATATGTGTGTGTGTGTGTGTGTGTGTGTGTGTGTGTCTGTCTGTCTCTCTGTCTGTCTATCTGTCTCTGTTTCTGTCTCTCTGATCCTAACTTTTCACAAACCCTTAGATCTGTATTGAATCTGGTCCAGAGCTTATGCAGGGAGGAGTTTCTAAGAGTTTCTAGGATAAGCGCCCCCTGGTGAGAAATAAGGGTAATGTGGTCTTTGGAAAAGCCAGTCCACATGTACTCAATACCCTCTGACGTAACCAACCACTTGGCTGGTGGCCTGAGGATAATGCCACCTGGTGCCGAAATGATATTCTGCGTTTCCTAGCTGGTGAATTAACTGATCGCCCACTTTTCTGTAGGCCTATGAAGTGTACACCTAGCCTGCACCTCCTATCACAATAATAGAATATTGTAACCCATTAAACTAAAGTGGGTCTAATGGAAAACAGTAAGTATACTGAAGGCTGAGGCCTTACTGGCGCAGAAATAAACACTGGCCTTCTTACAATAGGAAGAAGACCTGAGGGAGGGCCTGGGCCCCTGCAGAGAACTCCCCTGAATAGCAGGCATTGCCACCTGCATCAGTGGAGTGGTGACTCCCACCAGGGGGTTCCAGACCCTTTGGAGTATTAGAATATTTGGATTGGCTTTAGAACCTGTGTATTAGAACAATGCCTGGCTTCGGTACTCAGTCTTTGTATTTGGTCACTGTGCTCCATTCTCCTAGAAGTGAATGCCATGGCATGCATTTCTCTCCCTCCCATTCCATCATTCCCCAAAGGTCTCACCCATATCTCCTTGGCTCTGTCATAGGACAGATAGGTCATCTTCTCTTCAGTGCAGGCCAAGTTCTTTTTGATATGGGAAATCTCACTCAGGTGCCCCTGCATGTGGTCATTGACCTGTTCCTCAATCACCTTTTGCCTTGTGTGTGAAAAAGAAAGGTAACATCACATCAGGAAACAGTGTTCACTTTTTCAGGGCCTGGAAAATACTTGAGCTCCTCTTTGCCCTCTCTTCTTTCCTTTAAAGCTCAACTAAAACCCTACCTCTTTCTAAAATGCCTCTGGAGACCCAATTCAACCAGCATCCATTTCCCCATACAAAACAAAGGAGAAGAGCTTTCAGCCTGGGAAGGATCTTAGACCTCATCCAGTCTAACCCACTTATTTTACACAGGAAGAAACACAAGCCACAGAGAAGGTAAATGACTTGTCCAAAGTCACAAAAGTAGTAGAGCCAAAATTCCAACTCAGCTCCTCAAACTCCAAACCCGGCACTTCCCCTCATTGCATAGGGGGGAAATAATTTTCCTCACTTTTTTTTTCTTTTTTCTTTTCTTTTTTTTTTTTGGGGGGGGAGGCAGTTGGGGTTAAGTGACTTGCCCAGGGTCATACAACTAGTAAGTGTCAAGTGTCTGATCTGAGACTGGATTTGAACTCAGGTCCTCTTGACTCCAGGGACAGTGCTCTATCCATTGCACCACCTAGCTGACCCAATTTTCCCCACTTTTAATAAAATAAAATTTAAAGATAGATCACTGGCTTGGAGTCAGGAGGACCTGAATTCAAATCGGACCTCAGACTTTCAGCACCCATTAGCTATGTGACCCTGGGCAAGTCACTTAACTCTGGATTGCCTCGCAAAAAGAGAATCCAACACACCTATCAAGAAACCAAAAAATTTGGGGAAGCTAGGTGGCACAGTGGATAGGGCTCTGGCCTTGGAGTTAGGAGGCCCTGAGTTTAAATCTGGCCTCAGACACTTGACACTTCCTAGCTGTGTGACCCTGGGCAAGTCATTTAACCCAAATTGCCTCAGCAAAAAGCAAAACAAAATAAAATGTAAAGACTCTTGGAGTCAGAGAACCAGTGAGATGCTAATTTCTTAAGCACATTCTGGCTTTTGGATGCCATGAGTCAGAGGTCAGGCTGTCATCATTGATCCTATGCTCAGATCATCCTTCACCTGGAATCTTCCCTCCTATCCATCTGTTCACATGACCAGCTTTGAAGCTACAACTTATCCCACATCCTTCTTTGGTTATCCCACCCTCTACTGATCTCTGGTATCCCTGAAATCCAATCCCCCTTGGAGTCTAAACCACTCACACGAGCATTCACTTCTCTCTCTCTTTATTTTTTTTTTGGCAATTGGGGTTACGTGACTTGCCCAGGGCCACACAGCTAGTAAGTGTCAACTGTTTGGTCTGAGACCAGATTTGAATTCCAGTCCTCCTGACTCCAAGGCTGGTGCTCTATCCACTGCACCACCTAGCTGCCCCTGAGCATACACTTCTACTCAGCCTTCTAGCTTCCATGTTGTAGATTCAACAAACACTTTGTTCTTTTTTTTTTAAACAAATCTTGATTCCTAGATCTCTCCCTAACTACCTCATTAGCTCCTTGTGTGCAAGAGCTAAAGATCCCCAGGACGTAGCACAGAAGTAAGAAGATGGGATCAGAGGATTTAAAGCTATAAAGAAAGTTAGAGGCTGTCTATCCCCTTTTTACAGAGGAGGAAACTGAGGCTCAGAGAAGGTAGTGAGTTGTCCAAGTGGAAATTCGGGGAGTTTAATCCAGGTCTTCTGACTCCAGGTCCAAGTATCTTTTTGTTAGAGAAGGGTGCTCAACAAAGACATTGATTGACTGATTTTTCATAGCTCCCTAACTGGAGCAAATCCCCTTTGTTGTCTAGCCCAGAAAAGTGACTATATCAAATGATGGGCTTTGTGGTCCAGGCAGGGCAGAGAAGCAATCCTCAAATCATCCTGAAGCATCCATTACCTGCTATACTTCAGAGGTGAAACTAGGATGAGATGAGCAGAGCTTTTCCTCAGGGCACTAAATTTCGAGGGTACTAATAGCATATGCAGTCCTGCAACATTCAGAAACTAGTTTAGCACCTGATTAGAAAGTCTAATTAGTTTAAAAGGAAGCTCTCAGATGGTAGGTAGGTTGTGTAGCAGATAGAGCCCTGGGCCTGAAGTCAGGAAGACCTGTGTTCAAACCCAGCCCCAGACACTAGCTGTGTGACCTTGGGTAAGTCCCTTGACTTCATTTAACCTGTTTGTCTCAGTTTCCTCACTTGTAAAATGGGGTTAATAATAAGATCTACCTCCCAGAGTTGTGAGGATGAAATGAAACATTTGTAAGGTGCTTTGCAAAACATAAAGTGCTATATAAATGCTATTATTATTATTATTATTATTATTACTGTCTAAGACAAACTCCTCTATGCCTTCCTGTTCCTACTCAACTGAAGACAGTTTGCCCAAGGCACAAGAAATCCTAGTTATGGCTCTGCTGTTGTTGGATGCAAATTACAAAAAGAAAGAAAGAATTTTTACCTAGATGCTCCCCAGGGTTGTCAGCCTGTGGGCTTGCCTACAAAGTAATAGTATCCTTAAATATATTTCAAAATTTGTAGGAGAAAATTCTCAGCAGTCTAGGAAGGCAGAAAAAGCCTTTCCCTGGGAGTTGAGAGTCCTGGGTTCTAGTTCTGAATCTGTCATTGACTAGGTTGGGGATAATTTCTAGGCCTTTCTGGATCTCATCATTGCATCTCTTTGTCACTCAGCTTCCCCATACATGAGACAAGGGGGTTGGACTTGGTGACTTCCAAGATGCCTTTGTAAGCTAAGATCTTGGGTTTCTAAGTCATGTCTTGGGTCCCTACCAGCTCTGACATTTCATGAGTTCGTGTTTGTCTGGCTGATGGGCCGTAAAAGAAAATGGCCTATCCTTTAGCTAAGGCCATGAGCAGACGAAGCTGAAGGACTTGGCCTTACCTATATTTGTCCTCGTGAAGAGACTCGATAATCAGCTGCAAGTCCGTCAGGTACTTCTCCTTCAGGGCTTGATAAAATAGCTCAAGTCTGCTATGGGATTTTTTTATATCTTCTAGCTCTTCCTTGACGTTCAGGAAAAGTGGGCTCTGTTGCCGGCCCAAGCTATCTTTCTTTGAGGATTTTTCCTGGGGGGAGGCAGCAGCCAGCACATCTTTCTCTAAGATATCCAGGGCATTTGTGGATTGGGATTCCTCTGCTCTGGTCTTCGGGTTCTCCACCAAACGGGCTTTATCAGCGGATTCCTGGCTCTTCTTGGCCTTCTCTTCCTTCAGTGATGAGCGCTTGGGCCTTCTCCCCTCTTCCATTTCCTGGAGCTGCTGGTGGTACTGTTGGAGCTTGTGTTCTATGTGGGCAATAGTGGCTGAAGAGCGCTGGTTCACCTTCTCGAAGGCTTGTCTAATGCGAATGGCCTGGTGCCGGTGAGCTTTGGACACTAGTTTGAGATAGCCTACTGTGTTCTCATCCCGTCTGGCTTTCTCCACTTCTAGCTGCTCAGACAAGTACAGGATGCGATATTTGATGCTGTTCTGGAGGCTTCGGCTAATCTTGCTGACTGATTGTCTGGGGTTGCCGCGGTAGCCCTCATCATTGGTGGAAGGGGATCTGTCTTGGTCGATGGGGCAACTGAGAGGGTGTGGAGAACTTTGACTCTTCATATGTTTTGCCTGCATTGGGAGAACAGAAATCACAAAGTTGGGAATACTGTGACCAGTGCATGTGGGGACATTCAGTGACATTTTAGCAACTCGCTGGAACAGTGAATAGAGTGCTGGGCCTGGGGTTAAGAATACCTAAGTTCAGTTTCCACTTCACATACTTGCTAACTATGTGAATCTGAGCAAGTCACTTAACTTGATGAGAAAGAGCTATACTACCAATTAGCTATAGCTGTTGAATACATATATTCAAGAGGAATCCTAGGCAAATTTGGGAAGGCTCATCCTCATAATGAGCCCCAGATCACCAAGAGACTCCCCTAGGATGTTTCAGTTTCCTCATCTATAAAATGAGGGGAGTTAGACTTTGAGGAGGAAGTGTGGTGTGATGGAAAGGAGCATTGGATTTGGAGTCAGGGGGTCTGGGCTGGAAATTTGACCTTGCCATGTATTCCCTGTATAACATGGTCACAACCTTTCTGGGCCTCAGTTTCCTCCTCTATAAAATAAGGAGCTTGGACAAGATGGCCTTTAAGGTCCCTCCCACCTGGAATATTCTGCTTAGCTCTGGGCATCACATTTTAGGAAGGACAGACAAAGTGAAATAGGTCTAGAAGTCAACCAGGATGATGAGTGACCTGGAGACCATGCCATTTGAAGGGACTAGGGTTCTTAGCCTAAGGAAGAGAAGCCTAGGGAGACATGATAGCTGGTTTTCAGAATTCCAAGAACCGTAGTGTGAAAGAGGGATTCGACTGAGGCTGCCTGGTCCCCAGAGGAGAATTCGGGCAGGAGGGGTGGGTGGGTGGGGAGCTGAAGAGAGGCAGATTTAGTTTCTATGTAAACAAAGGTTGTTAAGTCAAAACTATCCAAAACCAGAATGGGTTGTCATGAGAGTGTAAGATATACACGCCCATGTGAGATATGTATAGTCATGTAAGATAGGGATAACCACATGGGTCATCTAAATGTGTAGACATGGCTCTGTGATCTGACTCCCCCTCTCCAAGTGAGACTGCAATTTCCTTTTTGAAGGGAACAGAAGAAAGGCCGTGACTCCTTCCTTTGACTATCTTAAAGAAGGATATTGGGCTAAATTATATCTATCTGTCTTCACATATTGGTAGTATAGGATTCTAAGTCTGGTTCAGAAGGAAGGCTGTTGCCCTGGTCACTCTTTTTTTCTTTTCTTTTCTTTTTTTTGTGGCTAGGCAGTGGGGTTAAGTGATTTGCCCAGGGTCACACGGCTAGTTAGTGTCTGAGGCTGGATTTGAACTCAGGTCCTCCTGACTCCAGGGCAGGTGCTCTACCCACTATACCACCTAGCTGCCCCTACTCTAGTCACTCTTAAGGGGGAAGCTAGCCTTTAGATTATACTTGCCAGCTTAGTTCTTTCTCACCAAATGCTGGTTACACAAAAGACCATCATAGATAATAAACAGTGAATAAGTAGACTTGTCCAAGCAAATAGAAAACAGAAATTGGAGAAGTTATGCAAATTAAACTATATCAAAGAATATATGAGCGAATGAACTCTTAATTTTTAAATTAAAAAGCAACTTTTCAGACTGAATCTCCCTATCTCTCACAAGCTGGAAGCACAGGCACTACTCGAGGGCCTGGTGCTGTTACTGATCAGCATGGGAGCCTTGACCTGTTCTGTTTATGACTTGGGCTGTTTCACTCCTCCTTAGGTAACCTGGTGGCTTCCCACTCCCTGGAACTCACCATATTAATGCTGAGTTCAGTGTAGACACTCAATGAGCACAGCCTCAGGACTCTGGAGCCCAAGAGATTTTCCAGGCTTAGCCTCCCTGGTGTCCGGGATTATAGATGTATACTACCCTGTGGTGGTACTTGAATGACCTCTTTAGTTGAGGGTGAGATGAAATCTCAGCTCCAACCAAGAGAGCTTGATCTCATCCAGAGACGTCCATTTTGCAGTCTCTAGGGAGACAAGCTGGAAATCAGGGAAATGTTGAGCTGGCTTCCTCTACATGTCTGCAGCTTCTCTCTCGACATGTCTCTCCCAAAGAGTCTCTGGAACCGTCATGTCTCTTCCCCAAGACGATCTGGCACCAATTCCACCTTCCTTATACAAGTACTTATTGTCATATCTCAGTCAGTACTCTCTTAGGTGATCTGGAGCCACGTTTTCTTCCATATATACAGCAGCATGGAAAACACCCCAGGCTAGGTTACATTCCTCCCCTAGGCTGAAACGTTTTGTAGTCCCTTGCAAAAGGGGTGCAAGCTTGAAACCGGGAACTATATAGCATAAACACAAACATGAGCACTTTAAAACAACAAGGACAATTTTCCTGGCACCCCAGGCAACCAAACAAGTATACCATTGAAAGCAAAAGAAAACAAATGTGCATTAGCAATCCATACAATAGCCATGACATGATACGGAGCATCACCTGACAGAGTACTACAGTGAGATGTTACATGCAGGACCTAGCACATACACAGGTCAAGAATACATGCATATCCATGGTACAGAGCAAGTAATAAAAAACAATAAAGCAAAGCATGATTAAAAAAACAAAGCTAGCCAGCTTCAGCAATAATATTACCAATAGGCCTAAATAAAAATACAACTTAACTAAAAACATTAGTGAATACACAAAGCAATCATCAGACATTGCTATAGTATGAACATAACACAAAACATAGAAACATGAACTTAACAGCCAAATAATGAGCAAGTATACCCAGACATGTTATACTTAACATGTGTAGCAATAAACATAGGCAAGGCACATATGACATAGGGAATCCTGCACTGTTTCTTCAGGTGCACCTACAACATCATATGTTAGTCTAGTGACTGATCTGATCAGCTCCTCTACTCTTACACTTGAGTTATTAAATGGCATGGACTGACTTGTTTGTCTACACCTAGGCTGACAGCAGGGGTGGATTGGCATCAGTATGTTTATGCTCTGTTGTATCTGTGCCTTAGAAGTCTCAATAGTACCAGTTCTATGGAAGAAAAGATATGATTTTTGGTCCAGTTCTTCTGCCCTGTGTTTTGTTGTTGAGTCATGTCCACTCTTTACAACCCTATTTGGGCTTTTCTTGGCAGAGATACTGGAGGGGTTTGCCATTTCCTTCTCCAGCTCATTTTACAGATGAAGAAATTGAGGCAAACAGGGTTAAGTGACTGGCCCAGGGTCACAAAGCTTTTAAGTATATGAGGCCAGATTTGAACTCAGGTCTTCCTGACTTCAGGCCCAGTGTTCTACCCACTGCAGCACTACCTAGCTGTCCTTTCTGCCACATACTAGAGCCATAGTCTCCTCCTTACTTGAATCATCACTCTTAGTGCCCATATCTACGTCAGAAAGTCTCTGGACAGCAAGTGGATGCTCTCTTTTGCTTAACATTTTCTGAGTTGAGTATACATCAGTTCTCTCCACCTGCTCTTTAGAAAGTCCAACTAATTCTTCAATGAGTAATAGGTGCTTGTGATGAATGTTCTTGACAGGACTCCTTCCATTTTCTGGGGCCATTTTGCAAAAAGGAAAGTTTCCAGGTCTCTCAGCAGCTTTGTATGAGTTAGCTTTCCATCAGTCAGTTTACTTGTGAGTCCTTTGAATGCCAAAGTTTCTCAACAGAACTCTGTCTTCTTGTGGAAAGTCTTGATGACATATACTAACACACTGTCTTTTGTTTCTGCCACAACTTCTGATCTGAGACCTCTCAGACTCTCTGTCAAACGAAAGATGCCCTAACTGTGAGTAGCATCACCTCCTTCATCTGAGGCACCAAAATACAGGCCAATAGGTAGGTGTGGTTCTTATGAGCACAGTGAAAAGCCTGGAGCATAATTCCTGGTGGAATTCTATGCATGTATTAGAAATAGCACATACTGACTCTGTTGAGATTTTTGTTCTGTCTAACCATGTGCAGTTAGACCATTCAGACTGGAGTCTTTTTGTGGATGGTAAGCAGTAGTTTTTGATACTTGTCAAAGCAAACATTTCCTCAAGTAGTTTGCTCTCAAAGTCTCTGCTTTGGTCAGAGTGGATACTGGCAAGGGAGTAAAATACACTCAAAAATACTTTCCCCCAAATGAAGAACACTGGAGGTGCTGGGGGAAAATATGTGCATTAATGCACTGTTGGTGGAGCTGTGACCTGGTTCAGCTATTTTAGAAAGCAATCTAGAACTCTGCCTAAAAAGCTATTAAACTGTGTGTGCTGTTTGACCCACAATACCACTACTAGGTCTGTACCCCAAAGAGACCAAAGAAAGAGGAAAAGAACCCACAAGTACAAAAATATTTATAGCAGCCCTTTTGTGGTGGCAAAGAATTAGAAATTGAGGGAGTGCCCATTAACCGGGGAATGGCTGGGCAAGTTATGGCACATCAATGTGATAGTATACTATTATCCTATAAGAAATGACAAAGGGAATGGTTTCAGAGAAACCTGGGAAGATTTGTGTGAACTGATGCAAAGTGAAGTGAGCAGATCCAGGAGAAGAATTTATACAATAACAATATTGTGAAGACAAAACACTTTGAAAGACTTAAGAATTCTGATTAACACAATGACCAACTACGATTCCAGAGGACTCAAGATGAAATGTGCTTTGTTGTTCAGTTGTTTCAGTCATGCCTGACTCTTCCGGACTCCATTTGGGGTTTTCTCGATTAAAGATACTGGAGTAGTATCACACCTATCAGATTGGCTAACATGACAAAACAGGAAAATGATAAATGATGGAGAAGATGCGGGAAAATTGGAACACTAATGCATTGTTGGTGGAGTTGTGAACTAATCCCACCATTCTGGAGAACAATTTTGAACTATGCCCAAAGGGCTATAAAAATGTGCATACCCTTTGACCCAGCAATACCACTACTAGGTCTGTAGCCCAAAGAGATCATAAAAAAGGGAAAAGAACCCAAAAGTACAAAAATATTTGTAGCAGCTCTTTTTGTGGTGGCAAAGAATTGGAAATCGAGGGGATGCCCATCAGCTGGGGAATGGGTGAACAAGTTG